CAACGCCAACGGCGGTGATGCATGACGGTTCAGGCTTTTGGGTGAGCAGCGGTTCTTCTCCGCCCACAACTTGGCACGCTGTTGCTTCTTCGTTAGACCGGCCGGTGCCTTTGCCGCATTGTCCGCGGAACCTGAAGGCGCACCGGGGCCCTTGTGGACCTCCGTCCGTCTGCTGGCTAGCGTTTCCATCTCCTTCACGTAGCTCAGTGCTGCCGCCAGCCATTTCGGGTCTGCAAGCGGAGAGCATGCTCGCACTGTGCCATGACTGCTCTGCGGGGCGGAGAACACGGTGGAAGGAGGGTCCTCTTGGAGGGAGAGGATCCAAGCTAGATCGGGGCGCCCAGAATCGGCGACAAGCGGTCCACCATGACTATGGTAAGAGCCAAAACGTCCTTGGCGCCTTCCACTTTGTTGGACCCCAACAAGTCGAACACCTGGGAGAGCTGCCATTGGAGCAGGCCCCAGCTCCTCTGATCTCTGTACCCTTCGTATCGCTCCATGTACCTGGTCATCACCGGCCTCCGCTGAGCATCTTCTTGAAGAAGGGACAAGTTGGCGGTAGGTTCCATTCGCCGGAGGGCCGCTTCTTGCACTCGCCCAAAGAAAGCGCCCGCGCGGGCATGCAGCTCCTTTTGCAAGCGAAGCCGCGCGGCTGAACCTTTCACGGACAGGCTCGAGGAAGAGCTGGAAGCCAGGTCGGACAATGGGTCGTTGCCGCCTGCCAGCTGACTGACAAGCGTGGTGAGGGCCTTGCTTTGAGCAAGGAGCACTGAAGTCAGAGGCCCTCCTTCGTCGGCTATATCGCCGTTCGCCTGCCTCTAGCACCCCTGCGCCTGGAAGGGGATTCGGGGCCGCAGCCCCAGGAGGTACTCCCAACAAATCTGCCAGTTGGCGGGGCGGTGCAGCTGCTGGCGCGATCGCGGCTGAGACTGGGGCGGTAAGAGCCTGCCTTGGTCCTGCGGGGGCCGCTGTAAGGAGGGCGGCCGGCGCAGGCGGCGTCACTGAAGTTCTGAAGGCGGGGACTTGGCCAACAACTGAACCTGGGCGCTGAGAGCCTGAAGCGCGGCGACTATGTCCGTCTGCTGGGCCGCCAACATGGCGACAGTGGGCTTCCTCTTCGGCTCTGCCTTCGCACGCCGGGGCAGCAAGGGAGGTGCCTCCTCCTCGGGAATCATTTCTTCGGCGGTGACGTAACCCGCCCCTCGGTCTCCCTCGACCCCTCCCATCCATGAGACGGCGAAAGCTGCCAGGCTTGTTGCCAGGGGGAAAAGCATCGGGGCATCTTCGACGAAAGGAGAGCACTCCCCGATGCCTTCCTCGAGGGGCTCGAGGGCTGCACAGGCCTCGTCTGCCAAGTCTATCAAAACTGCCTCTATGGTCCGAGGGGGATAAACCCCAACCCAATCCCCTGTCTCCGAAAGCTCCACTGCGGGAGCACTGGTCAAGGTGTAGGGTCCCAAAAGGCCTTGGAAACCCTCGGCTGCGGCCTCCTGAAGCAGACCTTCGGGCAGGTAGTTCGCCGGCACAGCAAGCAAGAAACCTCCCAAACGCTTGAGCGCGCAGTAACTCACGGTCGGGGGCTTGTCTCCTTGCCCAGGCAGTAGAACAGCTCCTCTCAGCTTCAGCAGGCTGACATCGCCCGCCTCGGCCGGTGCAACATCCTCCGGATTCATTGCTCAAACACCCGGGGGAAAGAAAGTCCAGCCCCTGCAACGTAGATACGAGCCTCTGTCTCCGTAGGCCACCCGTGCGACAAAGAAATGCCCCTGTGGTTATCCACCAGGCGAAGATACACCGCACGGCTCGACGTAACACGGACGTCGTTGCACCCCGGGGTGCGGAGCACCACGTATAATCTGGAAGGCAGCTGGAGTGCAGGAGTGCAGCTAGGCGTGGCCACGCGGCCTTCAATCACAGCAGATGCCCAGCAGCCCGCTACCCAGGCTCTGTTCGCCCGGAACTCGGGAGTGGCAACTGACGAACGGAGTGCCCGGGCAGAGTCCAGAAGCTGGGGAGGGATGCCAGGGAAAGAGGCCTCGATGGCAGTTCGGGATTCAGGAGTGGCTGGGCTTAGGGAAGGCGGGTTCGGGCCCCTACCTAAACCAGAGCCCCTATCAACCCCTAAACCCGATGCAGGCAGCGAGGCACTCAGGGCCTCAGCCGCAGCGGCAGGGCAAGGAGAAGGCGGAGCTACAGAAGCCCCTGAAACGGAAGCAGAAGAAGTACCTCGGGAACGGGTGATGGAGATCCTCAGCCCCTCAAGTTCCAAAGAGAGCTGGGTGATTGCCTCAGTGTCAGAGGCGGGTGTGCCCATACAACGCCAAGCGGTCCGATCCCCGTGCGGCTGGCACGTTAGTAGTTTCCCTTGCCTGAAAGAGGTGTCGAAGGCGAGAGGAGGGAAAGAACAAGGTGAATGCGAGGCAGATGGCAAGTCCAATAGCCGTAAGGAACCCCAGCAGGAATGCCAGCACGAGCTGAGCAGCAGAAGTCCCCTGACAATGAACCGGACACCTGAAACCCCACAAGTCCGTCCGAATTCCCTCCGAAATCACCGAAGCAACCTCCCGAAGGAAAGGGCCCCACACCATACTTGAACCACCGCGACAGAGAGCCAGTTCCACAACTCATCACTGTTGTCAGGGATCCACATTAGGAGGTTGTGGTCCTGTTGGAAGCAATTGCGACCCACAAGTTGCTTGAAGGATCATAGGAATTGGCCTGTAGATTTTTGGCCAGGGTTACGTCTACCCTAACTAGACTTCCGGGAACCCTCCTTGTCTACCTAGCTAAGAAGTCCTTCGATCTTGCAAGTAGGGCTTCGGGGGCTTGGAGATGCCACGGCTGCGACTGGGAAAGTCGGTATTTGCGGATGCAAGTGAAGGCAGGAGAACAGCATGCGCGAAAAGAGCAGCGCGAGAAGAGCACCAGAGCGGCATCGTAAGCAAGACTATAGACAACCTCCACGACAACGGTTCAAGTGGGACAAGGGCTCGTGAAAAAACATATGGTACCGTATGGTGACACACACACACACACATGCATGTGCTATGCTTCGCGACGCTAGTGAATGGATCCATGGGCGGATAACGGCCAGGATGGCACTATCCACAACAGCTGAGCAGCTCGAAGCTCTCCCTTCAGCATGTCAGAATACAATGTATTGACAAAAGCTCGGAGCGAGCCTTTCCTACAGTAAGGCCTCTTGCGGACGTGAAAGTTCTGGAGAAGTAAAAGGAGCATGCTGCTTGCTAGGGAATGGAGGCCCAACTGGATCAAACTTGCGTGCTCTTCCTACCCCAGTATATTTCTGCCTCCTTCGCTCCATGGTACATCAAATTGGTCGGATCGAAGTTGCATCGATGCGGGAATGAAAAGAGAAAGGTCATGAGTCTGTTGTCGACGTAATGGTGGCGAAGAAACCATTGAAGGGAATGGTGCATGGTGTGCGGCTGCTGGATCATGTTGCGTGGCCGGCTAGTGGCTGAGTCGTTTTCCGCATGTAGTCTGCGAACCGAGGGCTTGTACTCGAGCACCGTACTTAACGTGCTTCCCGTGACAGTGGCAGCATGAGCGTGGCAGTGATTTGAGCTAACCTCGAAAGTGACACGAAAGGCAGATTGTTGAGAGAAGAGGCATCGTAACACGGCATGTTCAGGACTTCTTGGCCTTTGGCTTTTCCGCAGCAAATCGAGGCCATAAATCTGCCAGCAATGAAGTGAGGCAGTGGTGGGGACAGAGTCGTCGGGGACGGTGCGGCCTTGGCAAAAAGGTGGTGGAAACGGAGACGTCGCCGGAATGGCGAAGCCCATGGGTGCCCCGGGTGCTTGCGGAAGTGGTCGATTCATGCTGTCGATGCATGAATTCTTCTAGTGTGTATCCAGGTCTCGCACCGAAGATCCAAGACGCGCTGAGGAAGGTCAAATATCAGGGTTGCTTGCACCACATGTCGGCATCGCCGCACAATGAGAATTCCAGTTTTCGTCATTCAGAAACACTGGCTAGCCCGAGTTACATGGGATGCTGTCACGGATGTGCTTCGGTGGTCTTTTGATGTGTGCAGCTTCTGGGCAAATGCCAAAGTACGATCATACAGGTCAGCCGCTGAAGGAACCATGGAGAAAACAGAGGAAATTGGAAAGTTTTGCTGGAAATACGCGGCGATGGGGCATTTTTCAAACAGGTGCTATATATGCCAGCATGGTTTCTTGGCTGCATTGAGCATGTTCTTTTACCTCATTTATGAATATAGCCCAGCAGGACCGAGGTCGCTGGTTGTTGTTGGATGAAACGTCCAGATATCCAAGAGGTTTCACGTGAAGCTGATTGGATGCAGAGCAAACTATCAATCCGGGATCTGCTGGTCCTTGCGGAGGCTTGGTGTCATGGCAACAGACTGGCCTGTCGCAGATTTGGCTCAAGTAGGACGGGAATCGGACACCAAACCTGGAAAACTCGACTTGTGGTAGCTTGTATAGTTCCCGAAAGCATCACGAAGGGTTCTTCC